CACTGATGTGTTGTGAAGAGTGATGCTGATGTGTTGTGAAGAGTGACACTGATGTTTTTTGTGAAGAGTGACACTGATGTGTTGTGAAGAGTGATGCTGATGTGTTGTGAAGAGTGACACTGATGTGTTGTGAAGAATGACACTGATGTGTTGTGAAGAGTGACGCTGATGTGTTGTGAAGAGTGACACTGATGTGTTGTGAAGAGTGACACTAATGTGTTGTGAAGAGTGATGCTGATGTGTTGTGAAGAATGACACTGATGTGTTGTGAAGAGTGATGCTGATGTGTTGTGAAGAGTGATGCTGATGTGTTGTGAAGAGTGATGCTGATGTGTTGTGAAGAGTGACACTGATGTGTTGTGAAGAGTGATGCTGATGTGTTGTGAAGAGTGACACTGATGTGTTGTGAAGAGTGATGCTGATGTGTTGTGAAGAGTGACACTGATGTGTTGTGAAGAGTGACACTGATGTGTTGTGAAGAATGACACTGATGTGTTGTGAAGAGTGATGCTGATGTGTTGTGAAGAATGACACTGATGTGTTGTGAAGAGTGACACTGATGTGTTGTGAAGAATGACACTGATGTGTTGTGAAGAGTGATGCTGATGTGTTGTGAAGAGTGACACTGATGTGTTGTGAAGAGTGACATTGATGTGTTGTGAAGAGTGATGCTGATTTTGTTGTGAAGAGTGACGCTGATGTGTTGTGAAGAGTGACACTGATGTGTTGTGAAGAATGACACTGATGTGTTGTGAAGAGTGACACTGATGTGTTGTGAAGAGTGACACTGATGTGTTGTGAAGAGTGACACTGATGTGTTTGTGAAGAATGACACTGATGTGTGTGAAGAGTGATGCTGATGTGTTGTGAAGAATGACACTGATGTGTTGTGAAGAGTGACACGATGTGTTTGAAGAATGACACTGATGTGTTGTGAAGAGTGATGCTGATGTGTTGTGAAGAGTGACACTGATGTGTTGTGAAGAGTGACACTGATGTGTTGTGAAGAGTGACACTGATGTGTTGTGAAGAATGACACTGATGTGTTTGTGAAGAGTGATGCTGATGTGTTGTGAAGAATGACACTGATGTGTTGTTAAGAGTGACACTGATGTGTTGTGAAGAATGACACTGATGTGTTGTGAAGAGTGATGCTGATGTGTTGTGAAGAGTGACACTGATGTGTTGTGAAGAGTGACACTGATGTGTTGTGAGGAGTGATGCTGATGTGTTGTGAAGAGTGACGCTGATGTGTTGTGAAGAGTGACACTGATGTGTTGTGAAGAATGACACTGATGTGTTGTGAAGAGTGACACTGATGTGTTGTGAAGAGTGACACTGATGTGTTGTGAAGAGTGACACTGATGTGTTGTGAAGAATGACACTGATGTGTTGTGAAGAGTGATGCTGATGTGTTGTGAAGAGTGACACTGATGTGTTATGAAGAATGACACTGATGTGTTGTGAAGAGTGACACTGATGTGTTGTGAAGAGTGACACTGATGTGTTGTGAAGAGTGACACTGATGTGTTGTGAAGAATGACACTGATGTGTTGTGAAGAGTGACACTGATGTGTTGTGAAGAGTGACACTGATGTGTTGTGAAGAATGACACTGATGTGTTGTGAAGAGTGACACTGATGTGTTGTGAAGAGTGACACTGATGTGTTGTGAAGAGTGACACTAATGTGTTGTGAAGAGTGATGCTGATGTGTTGTGAAGAGTGATGCTGATGTGTTGTGAAGAGTGATGCTGATGTGTTGTGAAGAGTGATGTTGATGTGTTGTGAAGAATGACACTGATGTGTTGTGAAGAGTGACACTGATGTGTTGTGAAGAGTGACACTGATGTGTTGTGAAGAGTGACACTGATGTGTTGTGAAGAGTGACACTGATGTGTTGTGAAGAGTGACACTGATGTGTTGTGAAGAATGACACTGATGTGTTGTGAAGAGTGACACTGATGTGTTGTGAAGAGTGACACTGATTTTGTTGTGAAGAGTGACACTAATGTGTTGTGAAGAGTGATGCTGATGTGTTGTGAAGAGTGATGCTGATGTGTTGTGAAGAGTGATGCTGATGTGTTGTGAAGAGTGACACTGATGTATTGTGAAGAGTGATGCTGATGTGTTGTGAAGAATGACACTGATGTGTTGTGAAGAGTGATGCTGATGTGTTGTGAAGAGTGACACTGATGTGTTGTGAAGAGTGATGCTGATGTGTTGTGAAGAGTGACACTGATGTGTTGTGAAGAGTGACACTGATGTGTTGTGAAGAATGACACTGATGTGTTGTGAAGAGTGATGCTGATGTGTTGTGAACAATGACACTGATGTTTTTGTGAAGAGTGACACTGATGTGTTGTGAAGAATAACACTGATGTGTTGTGAAGAGTGATGCTGATGTGTTGTGAAGAGTGACACTGATGTGTTGTGAAGAGTGACACTGATGTGTTGTGAAGAGTGATGCTGATGTGTTGTGAAGAGTGACACTGATGTGTTGTGAAGAATGACACTGATGTGTTGTGAAGAGTGACGCTGATGTGTTGTGAAGAGTGACACTGATGTGTTGTGAAGAGTGACACTAATGTGTTGTGAAGAGTGATGCTGATGTGTTGTGAAGAATGACACTGATGTGTTGTGAAGAGTGATGCTGATGTGTTGTGAAGAGTGATGCGGGATGTGTTGTGAAGAGTGATGCTGATGTGTTGTGAAGAGTGACACTGATGTGTTGTGAAGAGTGATGCTGATGTGTTGTGAAGAGTGACACTGATGTGTTGTGAAGAGTGATGCTGATGTGTTGTGAAGAGTGACACTGATGTGTTGTGAAGAGTGACACTGATGTGTTGTGAAGAATGACACTGATGTTGTTGTGAAGAGTGATGCTGATGTGTTGTGAAGAATGACACTGATGTGTTGTGAAGAGTGACACTGATGTGTTGTGAAGAATGACACTGATGTGTTGTGAAGAGTGATGCTGATGTGTTGTGAAGAGTGACACTGATGTGTTGTGAAGAGTGACATTGATGTGTTGTGAAGAGTGATGCTGATGTGTTGTGAAGAGTGACGCTGATGTGTTGTGAAGAGTGACACTGATGTGTTGTGAAGAATGACACTGATGTGTTGTGAAGAGTGACACTGATGTGTTGTGAAGAGTGACACTGATGTGTTGTGAAGAGTGACACTGATGTGTTGTGAAGAATGACACTGATGTGTTGTGAAGAGTGATGCTGATGTGTTGTGAAGAATGACACTGATGTGTTGTGAAGAGTGACACTGATGTGTTGTGAAGAATGACACTGATGTGTTGTGAAGAGTGATGCTGATGTGTTGTGAAGAGTGACACTGATGTGTTGTGAAGAGTGACACTGATGTGTTGTGAAGAGTGACACTGATGTGTTGTGAAGAATGACACTGATGTGTTGTGAAGAGTGATGCTGATGTGTTGTGAAGAATGACACTGATGTGTTGTTAAGGTGACACTGATGTGTTGTGAAGAATGACACTGATGTGTTGTGAAGAGTGATGCTGATGTGTTGTGAAGAGTGACACTGATGTGTTGTGAAGAGTGACACTGATGTGTTGTGAGGAGTGATGCTGATGTGTTGTGAAGAGTGACGCTGATGTGTTGTGAAGAGTGACACTGATGTGTTGTGAAGAATGACACTGATGTGTTGTGAAGAGTGACACTGATGTGTTGTGAAGAGTGACACTGATGTGTAGTGAAGAGTGACACTGATGTGTTGTGAAGAATGACACTGATGTGTTGTGAAGAGTGATGCTGATGTGTTGTGAAGAATGACACTGATGTGTTGTGAAGAGTGACACTGATGTGTTGTGAAGAATGACACTGATGTGTTGTGAAGAGTGATGCTGTGTGTTGTGAAGAGTGACACTGATGTGTTGTGAAGAGTGACACTGATGTGTTGTGAAGAGTGATGCTGATGTGTTGTGAAGAGTGACGCTGATGTGTTGTGAAGAGTGACACTGATGTGTTGTGAAGAATGACACTGATGTGTTGTGAAGAGTGACACTGATGTGTTGTGAAGAGTGACACTGATGTGTTGTGAAGAGTGATGCTGATGTGTTGTGAAGTGACACTGATGTGTTGTGAAGAGTGATGCTGATGTGTTGTGAAGAGTGACACTGATGTGTTGTGAAGAGTGACACTGATGTGTTGTGAAGAATGACACTGATGTGTTGTGAAGAGTGACGCTGATGTGTTGTGAAGAGTGACACTGATGTGTTGTGAAGAATGACACTGATGTATTCTGAAGAGTGACACTGATGTGTTGTGAAGAGTGACGTTGATGTGTTGTGAAGAGTGACACTGATGTGTTGTGAAGAGTGACACTGATGTGTTGTGAAGAATGACACTGATGTGTTGTGAAGAGTGACGCTGATGTGTTGTGAAGAGTGACACTGATGTGTTGTGAAGAATGACACTGATGTATTCTGAAGAGTGACACTGATGTGTTGTGAAGAGTGACGTTGATGTGTTGTGAAGAGTGACACTGATGTGTTGTATTGTGAGGAATGCAGTGGAGATGTTGTATTGTGGACAGTAACAGTGGTGTTATGTGTTGTGAAGAATGCATTGAAAGTGCTGTGCTGTGAATAATGAGTGGTGTTGTGTTGTGAATTGTGACAGTGGTGTTGTGTTGTGAATTGTGACAGTGGTGTTGTGTTGTGAAGAAGGCAGTGGAGGTGTTGTGTTGTGCATAGTGACAAGTGTTGTGTTTTGAATAGTGACACTAGTTTTGCATCATGATGAGTGCCACTGGAGGTGATGTGTTGTAAAGAGTGGCAGTGAAGCTCCTGCTCATATGCACCTCCTGTTGTATTTCCTATACATATATCTTTTTAAAAGTGATTGTTAATTTTAAAGAAAAATAAATAAGGTTTATTCATCTTTTGCAATAATACAATAAATTATAAAGACCAAGCTTATTGATTAAAAGTAAATAAATATAATTCCTATCAAATGGAATTTTCATTTCAGAATAACAGTTCTTAACTTGAAGGATCGTGAAGGTGGTTACATCGAGAACTCAAAGTCCCCTGGGAACTCTATCCACGTCTTCACGCAAGAGGAACTTAACCAAGGAGTTATCTCATATACTCACCGTGGAGAAGCCAACACCAAAATCGCTCTCAAGGTTTCAGACGGCATCGAAACTGGAGAGCCAACTATACTAAGAGTGGCGGCATTTGGCCTACAAGTATACTTGGTCAACAACACAGGTTTGAGCATCACTCATGGCAGCTGGGCCTTCATCACTCCCAAGAACCTTTCTTGTACCACCAATGCTCCTGATCAAGACCTAGAAATTCACTTTGATATCACGAGTTCACCAGTTTTCGGCGTCGTCCAACTATTGCTAAACAACGGACTTTGGCAAAATGTAAACCAGTTCAGTAGTTCGCAGCTAGACAAGGACATGATCCGTTACAAACATGTCTCTAAGGAACCCAGTGAAGACGAATTCAAATTTAAGATAACTTCAGGCCAACATATGTTTCCAACGGAATACACTTTTGGAATATCTTTTGTGTCAGTTACAATTGATGTTATCAGAAATGCAGAACTACTTATAGACAGAATCCAGGAGAGTTTCATCTCTGAAGGATTTCTTCAGAGTGAAACCAAACCAGATCTTACCCCTGGAAAAGACATCATTTATAAGATTATGTCCCCTCCGTTATATGGGTCTATCTTCTTGAGCTCCGGAGACCTGACACAGCATAAAGAATTAGCTAATGGTTCTACGTTCAGCCAGGAAGACATTGCCAAAGGAAGAATCAAATACAAACTTCATCGTAAGAGCTATTCATCACTTAGTGATTCTTTTCAGTTTCAAGTTTCTAGCAATGGCCGTTCTAGCGACATTCGCACCTTTAGCATACGACACAACCCCCCTCCGGTGGACGCCAATATTGTAGTTGAGCATTTAGATGTTCAGGAGGGCTCCAGAGAGAAAATTACCTCTAAATATTTGAACATAGAAGTCCGAGGCATAAAGCATATAGTGTTCAATGTTACATCTAGCCCCAAGCATGGCTCGATTAACGTAATAGACGAGTCGATGATCCTCCCAGACAGAATAAACACCTCCACTTTCACATCCCAAGAGATTAAGTCTGGGTTAGTATTTTATCAACATGATGATTCAGAAACAAATAAGGATCGCTTTCATTTTGTAGCTTTAGCAGAAGATCCAGAAGTGGATTTTCAATATGTGGGGATTATGCACTTTAGAATCATCATGATCAACGATAATCACCCAGTTAGGGTTATGGAAAAGGTATTCAATGTTGTTACTGGAAGTGAAAGAGTTGTTACTTCCAGTGATCTTTTGTATATTGACCCAGATCTTGATACTCCGTCATCACAAATCCAATACACCAGACGGAAAATCCCTAATGGAGATATTTTCCATGTGGAGGATAGATCCGAACCTGTTTATCTCTTTACACAAGAAGATATTGACCGAAGGCTTATTGTTTTTCGCCACGACGGTCCTCCTTACGGCAAAGCTGTGATATCTGTTACAGATGGAGATTTGTCTTCTACAGGTATCCTGGAAATTGTCGCATCTGACCCTTTCATCGAAATCGTCAATAATAGCGGCATCATTGTACCACGAGGCCAGGAGGCTGTTATCTCAAACTACAACCTTAGTGTGGAGACTAACATGAATGCCTGGGGATCGGCCATCGTATTCCATGTCACCACTGCACCTCGACATGGCCGCTTGACTGTGTCTGGTCAGTTCGTTGCCAAGTTTCAGTTCACAGAGGCCGACCTGCAGAGCGGGACTCTCAAGTATGTCAACAAAGGAGAAGCCAGTTTTAGGGATGAGTTCCACTTCCAGGCCAGAATCAGTGATACCACCATAGACGGCATCTTCGAAGTGAAGGTAAGAATCCATCTAATAGATTATTTGTGAAAGTTTTATTTGGGGAACGGAAAAAAATATGGTTTTAAATTAAATAAGGAATAAGTAATGTATTTCGTTACTTTCGGGCACTGGTTAATCTTTCATTAGGAATTCAGCGGTTACCGGGCTCTTAAGCAACATTGTAATATTCATTGCATGTAAAATACTTTCTCACTTATATGGAAAACGAGTCTCTCAGACTGCTGAAACTACATTTTTAAACTGACTGATGATCATTTATTGTGAAGGAAATAGTTGTCAAGGTAACCAAGATGGCGGGAAATTCCATATGGTAGTCAATACTAGTCATCAATAAAGTATAAGAACAGATCGCTCTGAGAAGGTTGAATACCATAGTTAAGAGAAGTAACATTATAATTGGTATACAATACAGACGTAATGATAAATAAAACACATGTGGAACACTGGGTATCTTTATTGAGGAAACCTTTCACTTGTGTTACAGGCTTCATCAATCAGTTGCAGAGATAAATCACAATCTGGAGACAGTAGATGAAGTGGAAAGGTAGTTGAGGAATCAGTCCCTCAGCCCTGGACTGCTCTGGGTGGGATGAGTCATGAGTAAGAGAAGGGATGTGCAACTATTATCTACGTGTCCTCTTACAGTTTTAACTCATATTTTCCTCTTTAATGTGCTCAAACAAGATTTGACGGAGATAATCAATGGCTGAAAATGCATCTCTAGTTTCATAAATGTAAATAAAGAAGAAAAAACGAAATGCAAATATTTTGAAATTACTTTAGCAGGTCAAAAGTTCATAGCTGTAATATTGTACCTTTGATATACCTTTGAAGAGTTTCACTACTCTCGGAGCCCGGCCATGGGCCAGGCTCGTCTGATGCTTGCCTGGTCAACCAGGCTGTTGCTGCTGGAGTTGTGATCTCAAAGCTGAGACAAAATAATTAAAAAAATGCTCAGAGCTAATCTGATGTGTACCACCAACCATGGTATAAACCTTGGTAATAAATACCGACAAGTTGGTTTAGAAAGACACGTAAGCAAACACTATAACATATTTATTAGAAAACGTTTCGGTCCTGGGACCTTGATCACTTGATCAAGGTCCCAGGACCGAAACGTTTTCTAATAATTATGTTATAGTGTTTGCTTACGTGTCTTTCTAAACCACCACCAACCATGTACAGAAGGATAGTATAACAGACCTGCGGGTGGCCCTCTCACCACTGGGGTCCTGGGTTCGAATCCCAGATGAACTACCAGAAAAAAAAAAAGATAGAAACTGTAATCCAGAGGTGAGAGGCGCGACTCTCACCGCTTGCGTTATAATATTAAATAAATTTTTTAAAAATTTTGTTTTTTTTAAATAAAAATTTTATGATTAGTTTTTTTTTTTTTCAGTACAAAAAATAAATTATCTGCGACGCTAAGGTCATGTATCAGAAATAATACTAGGTTACTAGAATGATAGCTTTACAGTAGACTGAGAGTCCTACTGCACGATCATGTTTAGTACAGAATGTGGACGTGTCCTGTACATGTGGTGCCTCATGACCAGCTCCACGGGATGGGATGCGTCAGTCTGCCTGTGAGCTACAGCTGCGTCATGTTACCTCTCGAACATTATCCTTCACCATGAGCAAGGGCATGAAAAGAAAGTTTCTTGAGATGAATAGCGTGTTTAATAATCTGAAATGGAAGAATTTCTGCTCATAGAAAATAATAGCAAACCGTTGTGTCTTGTGTATCAATAAACAGTTTCTGTGATGGAAGAATATAATGTGAGGCGACATTGTGTGACATATCACAGTACATAGTATGCCCAGCATGTGGGAAAATTCAGTAGTGATATTTCGTGAACTTAATGACCAAACATCGCAAACAGAAGGAAGTGCTAATTAACATGGGGAAGCCTCATCAGCGAGTCTTACACCATCATTTGAAGTTGTTATGATGCTTGTGAAGAACAGTGTGCAGTGAAAATTGCGGAAGTATTTGGGGAAGAAAAAGTTGCCAGAAATTTTGAAACTGTATCATTATCACATCAAACAGTTTCAAGAAAAATAAACTTAATGAACATGTTTCTTTAAAACTGAAGAAATATAAAGAAACACTGCAAATACTTTTCATTGGCCTTTGAAGAGATAACAGACATCAATAACACAAGCTAGCTGTTCACGTTCACACGTGTTGTAGATGAGAATTTCATGGTACATGAAGAACTAGTGAAAATACAACTCTTGAGTGGTGGTACAAGAGGCTTTGATATTTATGCTGTTCTCGAGTCAATTGTCAATGAATATACACGATTTGAAAAGTGTTCCTATATTGTAATAGATGGTGCAAGAGCTATGACCGGCAGTAATGTGGGGGTTAATTGGTTTGCTGAAGGAAAATAGAGTTGAGTGTATCATACTAAAATGCATTAGCCACCAAGAAGCATTATGAGTGGTGTCATGCAGTGTTGGCAGCATAGTGAATTTAATCAGAGGTTGTAATAAATCACGAATGCACAAAATTCATGTGTTTCTTTGAACTAAATGCAGAATTCAGTGACCTAGCACTGCACTCAAGTATCAGGTGGCTGAGTGCTGAAAAAATGCTCCAGCATTTCTTTGCTCTTAGGAGAGATATCCTTTCATTTCTTCAAAATGAGCAGCTGAGAAGTACACAGGTGTGCCAGCCTCGGTTGCAAGATAAAAACTTTCTTTGCATCCTAGTATTCCTAACAGACATGACAGCCCACTTGAATGTGCTCAATCTGAGCTTACAAGAAAACAACTGATTGGACACATTGTAGATTTCCACAAGAAGCTGCAGCTATTCACTGTGTGTTTTAGAATGATCTAGCACACTTTGCTTTTTGTCGTGAACTCTTGGCAGATGATATTGAGTCAGACTTTTTCATGTTTTGTCAGAAAAGTTGAAATTTTATCTAGTGAGTCTGAGAAAAGTTTTAAACTTCGAAAAATTTAATCCAAGTATCCTTTTAACAATCTCATGGAAGTTAATGGGAGACACAGTTACCAGAACTTCAGCTTGAACTGTATGAACTGCAGTCTAGCTCACTGTTGCTTGCAAAAAAAAGATACACGACAGTCGTCGTGCAGCCGCCGTGGACAGGAGACGCCTTCGCTCCTGCTCTTGGGTTATCCTGAGTAATTCTCGATCAGAGCAACTCTGAGCACTGTTTCTCGAGTTTTCTCTTGGGTTATCCTGACCTGAGTCGTTCTCGACCAGAGCTGAGAGGAAACTTGCTTGCGGTCACTTCGAGCACCATCCCATCAAGAGGGTAAGGTGGTGACTTGCTTGTTCACCCCTCTCTTCCCCATCCTTCCCTCACACAAACATCTACACTGTCCCACACACTAACACTCTGCTTACATTGCTATCCTTCTGACTTTCTTATCTTCTTTTTCGGCAACTTCGCCTTTAGCAAGTTAACACAAGGCATTTTGACCATCCCATAGCCCGGTGGTTTTTTTAAAATCCGGCCGATCTTTGCCTTGGGCCCTGACCCCCTCACTTCTCGAGGGTAGGCTATCGTAGGGACTGACCTTCATAGGATGTTTAGAACTACCACCAAGGAAAGACTTTTTTGTTAAAGTAACTTGTGTGTCAGATGTACCTTCCTGGACATCATGACACGAATACGAGTACGAATACGAGTACGAATACGTGACGTTGACAATCAAAAGCCCAAGAAGGAAATTCTCGAATGTGTTTGTTCAAATTCAACTGTTGCTCCAGTAGATGTTTTTCAAACCCACGCTGAGGTAGTACTTCTCTCTTCTGAAGAAGAGTTACTCAACTGCTTAAGCATGACGTTCTTGATAAATTGAAGACTTTTGGTATTGTCCCAATTGCACCTGAAAGCTATCAAGCCCAACGAACTGTGTTTATGGCCAAAATTAACAGTTCCATGAGAGAAAACTCAGTGGGGGAACTTATTGCAAACTTTAATCAAGAGAATTCTGAATTTAAGGTTGTCCAAGCATATAAATTCTCTAAACTTGCCAGCAACCAGGTAACATTCAAGTTAATGCTTGAGACACCTGAAGCAGCCAAACTCGTATGTCAAAATGGTTTCAAATGTTTTGGCACCAGATGTACACCTGACCAAATCTCTCTTGAACGGTTTGTCAGTGTTACACAATGTTACAAATGTTATGCATTTGGCCATACCACCAACAAATGTAGTAGCCAATCGCTGATCTGCAGCATATGCTCTGGTGAGCATTCTTTTCGAGATTGCCGTAACAAAACTAAGCCCAAGTGTATCCTTTGCAATAGAAAACACCATGCTGTTTCTCCTATCTGTCCCGAGAGGAAAAAGGTAATACAGAAAATTCTAGAAGCCCAGAAACTATCCAATTCTTCCGAGGCCCCTCCCCAGGCACCTCCAACAATGTCCCAAACTTCCTTCCCAGCTCTGCCTGGATCTAGTGGGACTCCTCAGGCCTCTTCCACCGGTTCCAATGTTTAGAATTCTGCCCCTCTTGGAGTGCCCCAATCTAACCCTCACCTACAACAATCACAGCCACAAGGTTCATCCTCACTCCCCATGTCTCAGGGGTCCTCAGCCAGGGATATGACGAGAGCTCAACTAATGTACATGATGGCCAAGGACATAGCAGGTGGTGATATTCAATTCTGCTCTAATGTTTTCAATGATTTGTTAATGGCTAATGGGATCAGTCCCATTACAATCCCAGATAATGTTAAGGTTATTATGGCCCAGCCCCCTCAAGACAGGAAGTATGTGCCCTACTCTACCTCTACAAATACGCCTCATTAATCCCTTGTTCAAGGCTCACCCGCCTCTCATACCCAGGTTGTCAACTCCCCTCAGCCTGATGAGTCAATACCTGACCCTAACCAAGCCCCAGAGATTGGTGCTTATTCTTCCGCTATTGCAGCTGATCCTGTTGAACAAGAACAAGAACTTTCCCAGGATAATTCACCTGGCCTAACAAATTTTCCCTTGGAGCCTCCAGGGTCTCCCTTTTACACTCATGTGCCTCTGCTTCCTGTAACTGGGAATATCACACCTCAGTTCTCTGATGATGACTAATGTTTCTGTTGATATTACCAACTCTAGTGAGGATGGTGACATTGTTAGTACACAAACAACTACTCAGAATTTCCCTCCTCCCCTTGACGAGTCTAGTAGGGAGAGTGTATTCCAAACGTGATGTTGCTTGCAGACGTTCAGACCGCAGTACATGCGCGAAGTGCAAGAAATAATGGGGATTACAATTTTCCAACTTAATGTTCAACATTTCTTTAATAACCGTTACCTCCTTGAAGTTGAACTACATAATTACAATCCTGATGTTATCCTCCTGAATGAGACAGCTGCGGGAGTTGATCAACATATTAAACTGCGTGATTACTCTACTGTGGAGAAATCGAGAGGACCTCATAGTGGCATGGCCGTCTTAGTTAAATTAGGCTATGCATTTAGAAATACTCACATTGACGAAGATAACATTCTTGCAATAGAACTGACGACGTCTCATGGCCAACTATTGATAAGAACTGCATATTTTTCCCTGAGACAACCATGTATAGAGCCCGTTCCCTTACGTAGGATATTAAGCAGAAATATTCCTACAATTCTGGCAGGAGATTTTAACGCTCATCACCCTGCCCTCTTTAACTGTGGAGTTGGTAAGCTACTGGGCGACTTGAAAGGAAAACAACTATTTAATATCATGACAGCCAGGAATCTGTCATTTCAAGGCCCATTCTTTAAATCGTATATTGGTCCTCATCCAGGGACACCAGATATAGCCTTGACCAACAGAGACTGTGACCTCTTTCATTGTCGAGTCTCTCCTGGTGGAAACGTAGGATCTGACCATATCCCTGTTATAATACAACTACAAGCTTCTCCATTTAGAATACCTGTACCTCCTTAACCCATCTCAACACCCTGGGATTTGACCCCTTCAGGGGTGACGATGAAATTGTGTCGGAAAATTTACCTTCCACTGCAACTGACGACGCGATCAGCTCCCTTCACAGCCGAATACTTGATGCTACTAATGCAACTTGTCAATTAGCTTCCACAAAGATCTACCAACAATATAAACCTACTAGGGAAGTTAGAGACTGTATGAGAAATTATCAAATAGAATGTCGAAGACATCTTCAGACACAACCACCAGTGGCTACATTGTATAGATTGAGGCAGGAATTAATTACCATGATTAGTCATCACAAATGTGACTTACGGAAATTTCTAGTTCTCCAAGCTAACCAGTATAAACGTCAACCTAAAAAAATTTGGAGCAAGATTCGGCAACTTTTAGGGGCAAAGCACAAGACTCCCAGCTACCTAATTCATACCTTCACTGATGATGAGGTTGAGATTAAACATGATGATCCACAGGACCAGGCTAATTTGATGGGTGATGTATGGGAGAAAATTCTCTCCCACAATAACAGTCGTACATTTAATAATAACTACTATCAGTTGGTCAATGACTGGAGAGATGAGAACTTAGCTGATATCCAACCACTACCTTCCATCGATACATCAACTCTTGAAGATGACCGCCCGCTTACTAGACTTACTACACTACTTGAGATGAGTCAGGTTATTGGAAGAACGTGAAACACAGCCCCTGGTCTCTCTGGAATAACAATGAAACAAATAAAGTTCCTACACAGAAACTGTAAACAGTCTTTGGTCAATATCTTTAATGCCATCTTGGCCTCCGGACATTTTCCAGTGGTTTTTAAGGCTGCGAGGATGATCTTTCTTGCGAAACCCCAGAACGACATCCACCAACCTGGAAACTATGGACATATCATTACTTGAAGTCACTGGCCAAGTTCTTGAGAAGATCATTTCCAATAGATTGAACTATTATATGGAGTTTAATCACCTTTTTACATAAAAACAGCTCGGCTTTAGGACACATAGAGATACCCATCATGCAATAAATATTATTTTCGATGCTGTAGCGAGTCTGAAACACCAGGGCAATCTTGCCCTAATTGCTACCAGAGATGTTCATAAAGCTTTTGATAGCTTATGGCATGATGGTCTTATATATAAACCTATTGACCTACCTGACCATAACTGGACATTTCTCAGATTTATATATAACTTCTTAACTCAAAGAAAAATCATTCCTACCTTTCACGGCAGGTCGACAGAGCCTTTTATACCGACAGCTGGTGTCCCAGAAGGATCGTGTCTTAGTCCAATTCTATTCAATATTTTTCAATATTCTATTCTATTCAATATTTTTCGGGCCACCATGCCGTGGTGGGAATCGGCCGATGTGTTAATAAAAAACAATTATGTGAATGATCTTCCCCAACCGGAGTTCAATGATGCAATTATAACGCAATTTGCAGATGATGTTATCCATGTCGTCTCGTCAACCCCTGTAACAGGAAAACATAAGTATGAGAGGGTCATAGAAAAAATGAATATTGAACTTCGCCGAACATCTAATTGGGAAAAGAAATGGAGAATTACGACCAACCCTGACAAAGTCCTTGTTAGTATGACAGGATGTTTTGCATCAACCATCGAAGACAAAGGGGGGGGTATCTCCATTAGAGGTACACCTGTAGCCGTTAGAAACCCTAACAAGATCTTGGGATATGAAATAGGCTGCTTCACTCAACTTCTCACGTCAGTAAAAAGATCAACATAGCCAAAGCCTGTGTTAGCAGTCTCTATAGATTTAATCAAGCCTCTTCACACGTCAAAAAACATCTGTATAAAATGATGATAAGACCTATACTCGAATATCTATGTGTCCCAATGTTGTTAACAACAAAGACCAACATACTACGGTTACAACGGGTCCAGAACAGAGCTCTCCGCTTTTTTACGGGTACCAGGAGGAGAGACAGAATCAAAATGGCAGATTTACACGTACAACAGGATATTACTACCTTAAATGTACGCCTTGGTATGCTGAAGAAGAGGCAACTATATGCAATGCAAGAACTCTACTTACCAGATAGAGAACATCATCCCCAAGTTGAAAATACTACCGACTATATCATTAACACTCCTCCCCACAGGACCCAAAGAATGACTCCCACAGAGGCTGCGTCGCTTCATCCATAAGGAAGATTACCAACGACTAATGATCTTGAGCAACCTGCCTGCAGATGAACATGATTGGGTAACACCAGAACCCTTCTATGTCTACTAAGAATATTATCGCTCCTAATTATGGAGATATCTTATACAACTTTTCTACTTTCACATCTACTATTAAAAATTCGCTATATTTACTATGGCGGGACACCACCTTGCAAGAAGCCAATGTGCCCAGTAATTTTTCATGAGTTGTCTATATAATCATCGCCTTGCCTTGTCGTTGAAATCTTCGTTATGCAATTGCAACTTGTATATCTATTACCGATTCAGAGTCATGCACCTATATATCAGTTATATCTGTGTGACTCTGATGGGTAAGTGTTATACCCCTTCCAATAATTTTTCTGTTATTACACACACACTTTTATATTGCACCAAAGTGGTTGTGTCACTTCCCTTTTTATATCCTACCTCGTTCCCCCTCCCATCCTTTTTCCATATTTCTGTCCCTACCCATCCTTCTTCCTTACCCTTCTTACCAAAGCTCTGGTCGTAAGTTACAGTTACAGTTGTAAAGAAAAATGAAGATCGTTAGAGTTTCTGGAAGATGGTCTGCAAGGATAGATTCCTCAAGCTGAGAGACTTTGCACTAAAGCTGCACTCGATGTTCGGCAGCACATATGTATGTGAATGTACATTTTCTACCAAGAAGCAAGTAAAACCAGAAATCAGATGGGAAATGAAATACTGGACATGGGTCTTGACTTCCCATTACTAACATCGGAAATTGATATAGAGACTGGTAAAAGAAAGGACTCGACCCGAGACATCATATTAGTAGGTAAGAATATAAGTTACATTATTTCTGTATAAATTCAGAACTTTAAAAAAGAACTGCTTTCTCTTACACACCACACACACCACACTACACACACACACACACACACACACACAACACACACACACACACACACACAGGAGGAGACGTTAAGGGA